ATGTGTGTGCAACGTAAATCACACTTCCCCATTTTTGAGACAACATTGGAACATTTCAGAGAACAAACATCAATGCATTGTATTAACTTTTTGATGTGATACATACATGGTCCCTTTGAAATGAAAATCATTTGGGAAAGTTTTTTATGTTATTTAGTAGGAATAATTCCAGAAACCTCCCCTGAGATTTTTAATAATTTTACTTGGCTCCCTTAAGATTTCAAAAATTACACCTACCTTCCTTGCCCATTTAAAATGACAATACTAACATTAATATTTTAATAAAACTCCCTTGTTGCTACATATATACAAAGGATGGATTTTATAATTTTTTCCTTTTTCCTTCTTATTCATTTCTCTTGTATTTCATTAGAAGTATAGAAAAACTATCAATGTTGTCCCTACTATCTATATAGATCAAATGTTAAACTAGTAAATTTTTTTTATAAATTTTAATATCATTCAATTTTTTTGTAGATCTTTTTTCTGTATCAAAATCAAGAATAAATCAACAATAATTAAAAAGTAGATGGCGCAAAATGACTACCAAACTATGGTACTTCCATCACTAAACTAGTCCATAAACTTTTATTAAAAAAAATATTCCATAAACTTTAAAAAAATAAGATAACACTTTCTTCTCTATTTTTTAAAAAAATTATATCCCCAGTAAAGCACTATAAAAAATAACTTATTATAGCCAAAGATTTATTGTTATAATTGATTATGAAATAACAAATATTGGCATGAAATACTTGAGACTCTTTTTTTTTATATAATTGTGCCAAATTACTTTACAATTGTTAAGAAGAACAAATTAAACTTGATAAGATAAGGACATTTTAGGCTATTCATTAAAATTTTGACCCTATTTTAAGGTTTGGTTATCAGAGTGTCAAATCAAGGGAGGTAGGTATAATTTTTGAAAGCTCAATGAAGCCAAATGAAATTATCAGAAACCTTAGGGTAGGCTTCTGAAATTATCCCTATTTAGTATAACAATTCTTGAATGTGATTATATCGAAATAAAAATGTGATAAAAAAACGTGTTTAAAAAAGATTAAAAAAATAATTTTATAAACAATGATATTGGAACAGTGATGTGTGCTGCTGTATAAGGGTGGGAAGTAGAATAAATTTTAATAATAAATTCCATTAGTTTGATGGAAGAGCCGATTCTCCAATAATTACTTTTAGAATTACATGTAAATATGCCATTATAACCTTGGAATTTATATGAATATATGCTGGAAAATGATAACTAAAGATGCCTAAATATTCTTTCCTTGGTAAATTTTTTTTCTTTCTGAAATATAATTCAATTGTTCAAGCGGTTTCAAGTTACACTGATTACTTGAGAACAAATGCAGTGTAGCTTATTCCAGATGTTTAGCCGGTACTAGAATGGTAACACGTGAACTATGCTATTTTCCATGACACAAGAATACATGCAAGAAGATGTGCACGTGAACTACCAAACAAAATCAAGCCTGGAAACGAATTTATAGATGAAAAATTAAGGAAATTCTTTTGGTAAATGAAGTATCACACAAGAACTCAAGATATTTCCCCAAGATTTTTTTTTGCAGGCAGTATGAGAACTTCATTAGTTTTTACTCAAAATTGAAACAATGTATTGAGTTAACTTTCTTTAAACAAGAGAAATCTAGTTGGATACAAGAGATATCAGTACATTGGACAACTGAATAAGGAGGTTATCTAATATTAAAAAGCCAGTAATATTAACAAAAATATGTCTTTTAATTCTTCGTACCAGTGATAAGAGATTATTACTCTTTCATACACTGCCAGTATAAAAATATATAGAATATGAAGATACTAATAGCCGTGAGATTTGAACGTAACACCTTGTGATAATAGAATGAGTTGAGCATATAGTAACTTGGACCAATCTTTGCTCTCAACTCAAAACTATAAATTGGTAAAAAGATATCAGTCAAGAGGTAAATAAACTCTTGAACCCATGATAAATGATAATCATATCAATATATTATCAATTCTGAAAATATAATTAGTATTGATTCTCCAAGTAAAACAAACAATGTAGGAAGTAATCAACCCAAGCAAGCCACCTGCCAACCAGAGAGTGCATATGATCACTTCTTAGCAAGTCACAAGTGTCTTGTATATATTAAATTAAATTGTAACCAAAACTGTAACCATGGAAATACTAATGACCAAAAATGAGCTAGCACAGAGAACAGAAGCGGCCAAAGAGTGATAAAAGGAGCTCACCAACTTGTTCTTTAATTTGGTTAAAAAACAAAGAGGGCAGAAAAACTGAAAGCAAGGGGGAGATGATGTCTTCAATGAAGAAACAAGGTTGTGAGATTCAAGCATTAGGTATCAACTACACAATCACCAAGCCTAAAGTAGAGAACCCTTTTAAAATCTTCAGCAGAGAGGCAAAGCAGAGGCATCAAACTGCTGCTGAAGAGTTAGATGAGCTGCCAAAGGTCGGAAATCCCCCTGAAGTTCGCCATGTTTTGAAGGACATAAATTGCGAAGCAAAACCATGGGAAATTCTAGCCATTGTTGGTCCTAGTGGTGCTGGAAAATCCTCACTCTTGGAGATTCTTGCAGGGAAACTTACACCACAAGATGCATCCATTTTTGTGAACCAAAAGCCATTTGATAAGTCCAGGTTCAAGAAAATCTCTGGCTATGTGACACAGAAGGATACATTGTTCCCTCTCCTCACTGTCCAAGAAACGTTGATGTTCACCGCAAAACTTCGGTTAAGGCTTCCTGAAGCAGAGCTGAAATCCAGGGTGAAGTCACTGATGGAGGAGTTGGGGTTAAGTCATGTTGCTGATGCTCGAGTTGGAGATGATAGAGTTAGAGGGATATCTGGAGGAGAAAAGCGGAGAGTTTCAATTGGAGTTGAAGCTATTCATGACCCCAGTGTTTTACTTCTCGATGAACCAACTTCAGGGCTTGATAGCACTTCAGCTCTGCAGATCATTGAGATGCTTAAGAAAATGGCAGAAACTCGAGGAAGAACCATAATTCTTAGTATTCATCAGCCAGGTTTTAGAATTGTGAAGTCGTTCAATTCCATTCTTCTTTTGGCAAATGGCACGGTCCTGCACCATGGCACCGTTGATAAGCTTTCTCTGCGTCTGAGGGTAATGGGACTAGAGCTTCCTCTTCATGTTAACGTTGTCGAATTTGCCATTGACTCCATTGAAGTTATTCAGGAGCATCAGGCACTGCAGCAAGAAATGCTGTCTCGTCAAATTTCTCAGAAAAAGAAAGGAGGAGATGAAGGGCAGAGTAGAAGTGGTAAGTTCACCTTACAACAATTATTTCAACAGTCAAAGGTGATTGATGGAGAAAATTTGGATTCTGGGATGGATTTTGCTAATCATTTTGCAAATTCTAGATTGAAGGAGACCCTAATTCTTAGCCACAGATTTTGGAAAAACATTTGTAGGACTAAGGAGCTTTTCACTTGTCGTAGCCTACAGATGTTGATCTCTGGCCTAATATTAGGCTCAATCTTTTATGATCTCAAGTACAATTTAATTGGTGCTGAGGAAAGAGTTGGTCTCTTTGCATTCATCTTAACATTTCTCCTGTCAAGCACAACAGAAGCTCTGCCTATATTCTTGCAAGAAAGGGAGATTCTGATGAAGGAAACCTCTTGTGGAAGCTACAGAGTTTCTTCATATGCTATAGCAAATGCTCTAGTTTACTTGCCATTTTTGCTGATTTTAGCACTGCTTTTCAGCATTCCTCTATATTGGCTGGTCGGATTACATCGGAGTTTCTTGGCTTTCATGCAATTTTTACTGTTGATTTTGCTGATTCTGTATACAGCAAATTCAGTGGTGGTTTGTTTCAGTGCCTTGGTGCCAAATTTCATTGTGGGAAATTCAGTGATTTCTGGGGTGATGGGATCATTTTTCCTTTTCTCAGGATACTTCATATCCAAGCATGAGATACCAAATTATTGGATTTTCATGCATTATATATCCTTGTTTAAGTATCCATTTGAAGGGTTCTTGATCAATGAGTTCTCTGGCTCTGGATGCTTGGATGTCATGTTTGGAGCTTGTGTAGTGAGTGGTGATGATGTGCTCAAGGAAGTAGGTTATGGTGAGGAAAGCAGGTGGAGGAATATTACCATAATGATCTGCTTTATCATAATTTACAGGTTCATTTCCTATGTCATTCTTAGGTGCAGATGCTCCCAGAGAGGACTCAAAGGGATTCTCATTTGAAGAGAATTCAGGTTTTCCCTCATTCTCTCTTTAACTACACTCTCTGTGTGTTTGTGTTTACTTTTTGAGGACTTAGGACCTCGTATGGCTAGTATATTTATTGATCAAAATTTGACCAATCATGCACATAGTTTGAATAGTTTTACATTGGCTATTTTATTTCTTGAAGGTGCAGAAGTTCTATATGTGGTTGATGTCTTTGATGCATAATTTTATATGCATGGCCAAATCTTGAACCACCAACCCACAGATATAAGAATTCCACTGCCTTATCATTGTTTATCGTCCTCTGGTTTTGTTGTTTTCTGGATTTAATTTTATCACAGTTATTACAAATTTGTTCAAATTCTTTGATTAGGTTAAAGAACACTTTTTGGCCGATTGAAAAGATATTTTCACATGCTAGAAGTTTCCTTGTGCATGAGATGCAGCAGTACTTAATCATGTTTTATATTCAAGCATCCCATGTGAAGATCACAGGAACTCATGACAGAGAAATGGTTGTACACATTATTTGGCTGGCATGGACTGATATCATTTAGTGAAATTGATCTCCCAAGGCTCATATAATTAGCTTGTAACTTGCAAGATGAAGAACAAGGACTAATTGGCTTTTGAAGATGGAATGATTTTGGTTCTTATTCTACCAAAATGTTAGAATATGCTCTGGTGCTTCCAAATTCCAACACCATTTCTACTTCATTTGTTGCTCATACATGAATATGCATGTTAGACTTGTTTTAAATCTACAAATTTTGATTTTTAATTTTATTTCTCATCTATTTTTCCTTGAGAAACACAATTCAGATTAACAGACTATCTGACTTAAAATGTGTACAAAACAACTACCTGTACATGCATGTGACTGTTTGCTTGATACTGTCAAAAATTGCAGATAATTAGAGTTGCAGCAGTCACTATAACAAAATTCTGGATTGGACAAGGCCAAGCAACTACTTTAGTAACATTTTACTATGTTCCTCTGCTAAAGGTGGCCTTAACCCTTATCTTGTTGTCCCGAGATTCCCACTCGTGACAGCAGCAAATATCATACAATCATCAGAAGCTCAACCACAAATGGGTGACTTGGGGGGTGAATACTGCCTGCTGCAAGGGTGCCAGATGGACCAAATCATCTGCAATAAACAGTTTGATATATTTTGTAAATGAAATTCAAAAGCTGCATGGCTCTCATCAATCACAATGCAGGATCAAGAAAAGAGAATCATGGGCATTATTGTAATTGAAAGCTTGTTACATTAATTTGTTTTTATCTATTGTAGTATTCTGGATTTCATGAAGATATTATATATATTGTTACTGCTTTATAATTCAAAAAAAAAAAAAAAAAAGAGCTTGATGTGATAAGAACTTGCATCTCTTTTTCTTTTTTTTTTCAACAATCAAAAGTACTAGAAATCACACAACAAAGTTAGATTAACACTCAGAGGTAATCGAAATCTTGGTGCAAAGCACAATCTAAGGTGGAGCTTACAAACCAACACCATCCAGCCAATTGGTAACACCATCCATCCTGGTGCATCTCTTTTTCTTTCTTGTTAATTTTTGTGCTGTTAAAGACCTGTGGTGTAGGGGTCTCAAATTTAAGAGCGCATAAATTATTCAATTTTTGAGTGCTGACAAACTTCCATCACGGACTCTTGGTACAGGCATGTCACCATTTGTTTGTCATCTTCTGCATTCCGTACAAATTATTTGTACAATATCTTATACCTTATACAAATGAGAATTAACTTAATAAGCCGTTATTTCATAGTATTTTGTTGTAGTAGGGATGCTTCTTTTTTTTTTTTTTTTTTTTTTGTTTCACTCTGCAAATGCCTAAGAAAGCATGATGAAAAATGGAGCATTACAGTGTAACTGATCACTATTCCTTGCTCAGCATTGCTTATGCCACCAAATGGACAATTAACGGAAATAAGCTACGGGCGATTGTGTAGTGTGGTGTTCTATTTTTACATTATTTGCCGTATACTTATATTTTATTATTTTAAAGAGTAAAGCTTATATACATTGACAATGTATACACTATCACAGTTAGATGCACCTACACATATACAAAGTTTAGAGTATGTGTTATTTATCCAATGATGAAAGTGTATACAAATATACATCAAATTTTGTAAGAAATACAACAAGATAATTGTTTTTTTTTTTTTTGTGTGTAAATGGAAGAACTCAAATCCAGAACCTCTCACATACACTCCGAACAACAAGAAGGCACAATTGTATCAAAGCACAACCATATCTGTCCCAAGTTGACAACTGACCGTCTCATCTTTGGTGCAACCAGAAAACGACACATGCATGGCTTCACATTTTAAATGCAGAAAGAGGGAGCTCAGATCATGTACATAGAGTCAAATATACATGGCCAAACATGCAGATTATTACCAATATGAATACTAACTAATACATATTTTAGCAATTCATCAAGTAAGAATATGACAGGTATTGAATTACGAGCTCAATACTTTTGTCAACCAGATGGGACTCAAGCAAAAGTGAGCCACAAGATGGTGAAACAAAAAAGAAGAAGAAAACAATGTGGTAGGGGCCCTACGTGAAGAAATATGAAGCTCGAGCTGAATTGGAAGTATAAGAGTCTAAGGGACAGGTGGTTTGGTACAAGAAAACATTGAGAATGGATAACAATAGAGGTGATTTACTAGATTAAATATGTGGTGGGAAATAATCCATAAAGATTTACACTTTACTCTCTTAAATAGCAAGGATTGACTAGTTTATGTTTAAGATGGTGAAAGTTTGTTCATACTTTATTTGGATGCAATGATATGCAGATCTGAAAGTTATAAATTTGAAAAAGTTACATGTTATTATGCACAATTTACCACCTTCATTGCCTTTTACCTTGAAATTTGACATAATATAAATATATCTATAAGACTTGTTTTTGGTTCCATAAAAAAGGAACTGAGATATGAAATTCCCTCAGGTAATATATGGTTCTCTATGATTATTGAAATGAGTTAGAATAAAAATCGATATTCTGCATAGCTTGATCCTAAAATTTGTAAATTCTATCAAAGTATGGTATTTCCTTCTGGTTCCAATTCCACTATAAAGCCAAACATAGCAATTTAGCCTCCATCCTTTAAGACATTTGGGGTTGATAACCCCTATGGACCTAGGTTTTCCAGATATTGAGATAATATTTCCGGGTTTAGGATAGAATCATAATTGCCATTATCTAAGAAATCTCCGCAGGCAAGCCTTGACACAATCAAGTATCCTAGGAGGGCTTGACACATTGTTAGGCTTGCTGTAACAGGAAAGATCAAGTTCATTGAGGCTCCACTTGTTCTGGAGGAAGGTTAGTGGTGATTCTGCAGTCATATCTCCCATTGTAAGAAGCCAAAATTCCAACTCCTTCCTCCCTCCCAAACCCAAACCCCCCCCCCCCCACTCCCCCAACCCAAAAAAAAAAAAAATTGGGTATCAGATTCAGCGGCATTAACTAGTTTACTTTATCTTGTGCATGTAGAAGACTTTCTGGATGTGTAGCTACACCTATACAATAATACAAAATTATTGGCTTGGACTATTAGGCCTCAATCTTATAAAGTTCTGGGATTGTGGATGACATTGGACTTTTTGCAGCAGAAATTGCTTGAAAGAGGAGCTAAGCATATGGGAGAGCTAGCTCTACACATTAACAAATGGTGGCTGGCAAGGGGAAGAACGATTCTCACAAAAATGAATAACCATAATAAGACTTCTACTGTTGCAATGAAAAGAATGTAGGTTGAACAACCAAAATGCATCATATCTGAGGAATATGATTTCAATTCTGTCTACTCGCTGTGTTTAAAATTCAAATTGATATATGTTACCACTCTGGAAATCTCACAAGTATATGTACCTTAGCAGAATTAGCACATCAACCAGATGAAATAACCGAGAAGAGGCACCAGTTGTCAATATGTGTCTGTTTCTCCATTCAATGTTTCTCCATTCAATCAAATCCACATTAGAAGAATGATGCTGATGTCTACAGCACCAAAAATCTGATTGTGCATCCCCACCTAAGATTCAAAGAAACTATAAATGTGTATAAGAACGCTTAAAGCATATGTAAGAAACAAAACTGAGTTCTGGTCATGCAGAGAAGGTAAATAACTAAAACAGTGGATATATTGTGAATATGCATCCAATTGAAACACTAAGCTCTCCCTTCTGACTTAGGTATCAGACTATTAATTCTAATCCTTTGGAACGATGATATTATCCAACAAAAGAGAATCCAGACCTCTACTATCCAGAAGCATAAATTGGGTAAACTGTTTATTGCCCATTTTGTTGACATGTCATGCTAAAGTTAATGTCTGTGCTAAAAACATGCTTATATGTCAAAAAGATGCCAGGTAAAAATAGAAACTGATGCAGCAAGTGAAAAACCTAATGCTGCAGAGCACAGTGTTTACAGCAACACTCCTTTGGTGTCCTCTAACCATCCATGTAAGTGCTTATGCTTAGGTGACTACATGCAGTAAATGTGGTACCTAAACTACTTCTAGAAGCAATACAACCATGGGCCTTCATCTACTTCCACATACGTTATGAGCATGGCACGGGAAAGCTACATATGCATGGCAAAAAGCATGAAGTTGTACCACAACAAAGGTAAATTACATTCTAGATGGGTACTGTGATTCACCAGCAACTTGAACAGGAAAGCATCTCACTAAGTGATTTGCTACTTAACAAGAAATATTTTAAAGGTGCCACAGAATTTTAATATCAGAACCAACTTGTGTATTTTTAGACATACTTTGGCTTAAAGATAACTGTAGAGACATGGCTGGAACTATAACTCCACGTAAAATTAATGCCTGATTGAACACATTAAATATTCTGACATCAATGACCTAAATGAGGGAGCTGGCCTGTGGAAGTGAAAATGAAGTGATACATAACAACAAAGATACACACATATAGAGGTTAAGTAGCCATCCTTAAGAGCTGAAAAAGTGAAGAATTGCTTACTATTTAATCAGCATAGTAACCAAAATAATAAATAATACCTGAGCAAGCAAGAATTTGAGGAGATCGAAAAAACAATGTCATGAAGGCCAGTCTTCCAGGATATTTCTCATCATATAAAGCTTGAATATTCATCTCAATGATAAGAAAACATATTGTCAATATCCCAACTGGATGTAAAAGCTTTCTCTGCTAACTCCTACTGAATACAAGGTCTTATTCTAGGTGAGCATACTACATGCAAATTTCACATAACTTCTCAACCATCAGGCCCTTGAGGAAGTCAATTGTGCATCTTGATCAAAGAGTAGAAATCAAGGTAATATTCAGAATAAGAGCTTTTTCAGGCCTCCTAACAAGTTTTATCATATTCTTTCTTGATAATCGGTCTTCAAGACAAAGAGTTAAAATTCATAGAAAGGGACCTGGGCTTCCAATACTTAATCAACAAGCAAAAAAAATGAATGATTTGAATGTGAAATTCCAAAAACATTAAGAACTTGCAATTTGTTTCCTGAATATTAAACAAAGCATATTATACTCCACCGTCAAATTTTATGGGATCTTTCTACAACTGAGTTGTACCAAGTAACGAGCAAAAAAAAAAAAATTTTTTGGTGGTTCATGCATAATCAAAACCTAATATATTGAATTCATAAGAAGACAAGATGCAGTATTTCCAAAAGAACAAGACCGAAAGTACAATTTCTTTTTGAAGTCAAACTTTAGCTTTAAAAGTACAGAACAATCTTTCTAGAGAGTGAGAAAGTACACGATGGGGAAGCAAATAAGAGCATAGAAGCAAAATACTAAGAGATTAGCTGGTAAATGCTGTGAAGCACTGAGTCTTTTAGTTACCTATCAAAGGTTTCATGGAATTGTCTTGAAGTTAGAGAACCAAATCCTCCAACATCAAAGAGTATCTTGCAGTACAATCTGTCTGAAATGAGTGAGGCAACAGCATGTCACTCTACAGCTCGTCTTGTTGCAAAAACGAAGTTGTGGAAGCAGCTGGTTCGCTTGCTTACTGGACAAGAATAATACTCCTAATTCTTTAGATGTGTAAAGGACCATGACAACCTGAATTCTAATTATGTCCTAGATATTCTTAGCAGCAACTGTAACAGATGACCTTTACACACTGTTATTATTGATAAAGCCAAAGAAGAGTGGGTGAAGGGCAGATGACACCAATCATATTCTTGGTTTAAACACTTGCTCATACAATCTCACTGTAGTCATTCTGGTATAAGGTCTCGTTTGCCTGCTGGTTCTCCTCTCCCCTCCCCCAACCTCCCCCCTTCCCCAATCCCAAGGCAATAACTGCTTGTGGATTAACCAAAGAATAGTATGAAATCTCGTATCACCAGAAAATTCACTAAGAAGAATTTATATGCAAAGTGGAAAAACTAGTAGGTCACATATATGTCTCCTAACAGTGATAGCAGGTATATTTAAACGATAAACCATTAAAAGAATGCACTAACTTTAGGTATATTGTATATTTTTCATCAAGAGGAAGGCTGCTTGGAACACTTTATGTCCTTATTATATTTGTTTGATCATGAATAAGAAGAAGGAAGCTGGCTGCTTGCAACACCTTCTGCCCTCATATATTTGTTGCATCATCTCATCTGAAAAAGGAAGTCATAAGGGGCAATACCCAAGATTAGGGCACAAGTAATAGCTTCTTCATAGTGCAGCCGAAGCAAGCAAAGGGGAGCTCAATTCATCTACGGAGGTGTACTCTGGTCTGTACTCCTCATCAGCATAAAAAGCACCTACATCAGGTACATATCCAGCTAGCCTCATCAATTTAGTTAGTGTCTTCAGTAGCAAATATATTTCCCTCTTCTGAGGATGCCTCTTCTCTTTTACCAAAAATACATGCATATTGCTCTCTATCTCAATCCAGCTACAACCAGGCTGCTTAACAACACCTTGCTGTCTCATAAGTTTTCGGATTCTTTTAACATCTGTCCACAGCCCAAGTTGAGCATACATGTTTGAAAGAAGAACATAGGGGCCAGAATTATTAGGATCAAGCTCAAGAAGCTTCTCAGCAACAAACCTACCTAAATCAATGTCTCCATGAACTTTACAAGCAGCAAGCAAAGAACCCCATACCACACCATCAGGAGGCATAGGCATTGACTCAATCAAACTTTTTGCTTCATTAAGAAGTCCAGCTCGACCAAGTAAATCAACCATACAAGTATAGTGGTCCTTCAAGGGATCTATACCATACTCCTCCATAGAATAAAAATATAGGCGCCCCTCTTCAATCAGTCCTGCATGGCTACAAGCACAAAGGACTCCAATCATCGTTACATGATCTGGCTTCTCTCCAGCTCTCAACATTTGCCTGAAAAAATCAAGGGCTTCAATTCCATGCCCATTTTGAGCATACCCTACTATGGTGGCATTCCATGAAACATAATCTCTCTCAACCATACTTCGGAAAACTGAACTACCATCTAAAACTGACCCACATTTCATATACATATCAATGAGAGAATTCCCAACAAAAACATCAGGTTCGGGGCCATACTGAAACCGAAATCCATGCTTAAGAACATGGGCATGAGCTTGCTTCCCCAGCTTTAAATCAGCTAGGTTTGCACAAGCATTTAGAAGATTCCCAAAGGTGTAATGTGTCGGCCAAACAGATTCCCGTTTTAATTGAAGAAAGAGTCCTAATGCCTCTTCATTCTCCCTATTTTGTGTATAGCCTGCAATAAGTGCGTTCCAAGATACTACATTCCTTTCAGTCATTCTACTAAAAAGTGCTCTTGCAGACTTAACACTTGCTACCCTAGCATATCCAGTAACCATAGAAGTCTCTGACACCACAGTTCTCATTTGCAGGCTATCAAATATACACCTTGCCGCAGAAATTCTGCCACATTTTGCATACATATCAACCAACGCATTGCATATAACAATATCATTTCTAAATCCATCAAACTTCATAATTTGTGCGTGAATTTCTTTACCTTCTTTAATTGCATTTGAACTTGCACAAGCACTCACCACACTAGCCAAACTCATCTCATCTGGTTTAATCCCACAGTTCATCATCTTCACAAAGACCCTTAGCGCTTCAATTGCAGGCCCATTTTGTTCATAACAAGTAATCAGACTGTTCCAAGATACCACATTTCGTTCTCCCATTCCATCAAATACCTTCTGAGCACAACCCACCCTCCCACACTTGGAGTACATATCAACAAGCGCAGACCCAATATAAACATCAGCTGAGTGCAAAGACTTAGCCACTGAAGCATGGATTTGAGTACCCATTTTCAAGTTCCTCAACCCTGCACAAGCGCTAAGCACACTACCATAAGAATAATCATTCACCACAAAATCCTCCCTATGCATTTTCACGAAATACTCAATCGAATCAATAAAAAACTCATGACGTGCAAACCCAGATACCATCAGGTTCCACGAGCACTGATCTGGCTCAGGCATTAGAGAGAAATATTTCTCAGCCTCGCAAACAAATCCAGACACCGTCAATGCACTTATCATTGAATTCCAAGTGAAGGTATTCCTTCGAGGCATTCCATCAAACATCTTCCGGGCATTGTCCAGAGAACCACACTTCCCATAAGCATCAATGAGCCTGTTGTTAATGAAAACTTCATGGCTGAACTGGGATTTGTGGATACGGGCATGTACACGGACCACATCACGAGCTGACTTTGATTTGATGCAGGAGTCCAAGAGTTTAGCAAACGGCGATGAGTTGGGCAGAGAGAGGTCTGCAATGACTTGTTTGAAGAATACATTTCTTGCCATTCCATTATCTTTGAAGCAGAGAATTGGATGGGCACATTTTTAAGATTATTTTGGCTTATTTAGATCATTGGATTTAAAGTTGGAGGATGTGCACTGAAGAAGTAGAAGGTCCTGATGCATTTGTAAAGCCGTTGGTGCTCTGTTTCTGAACGGCTTCCCGCCAGCTTAGTGTCCAACAAGATAAATCTTAAATAGTTGTAAATCGTTACATGGACTTCATTACCACCGGTGTTTTCAAATTCGGATCTGATAATAACTCCGCCAAGATTAAGGGTCAGGTTTACAAGTCATCAGTATTTTCAAAATCGGACTGAATAGTGACTCAATCAAGATTATGATTCGGGTCAATAGATTTGATTGGTGCTAGAGAACCGAACCATATGAATAGAGAATCGAACCACGTAGCATAATATTATAAATATATTAGTTAAAATTTTATAATTTTATATGCAATAATACACATAAATATATTGTTAACCTGAATAAAAATGTAAATCTTTATCTCTCAAACTTTGTTCCAAAACATTCTATAATTCAATACCCTTTAAACTTAACTCAAATTTAATGTTTAGAAGCTGTAAATACAAATTGATAAGCTTAGAACTAAATTTGTAACACCTATTTGAAGAAGTAAAGAAATTACAGCTACAATTGAAAATCTAGAAAAGCTTATAGGACCAATTATAGTTATTTAAAATATTGGGTTAAATGCAGAAAACCTCCATGAACTTTCATAACTGCTGCACAATACACTCCGAATTATGTTTTATAGGCACTTTGCACCTAAACTCCATTGAAAAGTAACGGATCTTTAGACACCGTTTACTTTATCAATGAAATGACAATTTTACCCTCAGATAATAATTGAATAGATTAAAGCATCCTTCGTCCCAGTTTGTCATTATATCGCGTGAACAGCTATTCAAGGCAAAAGAAAAGTCTGAACTTCTTTTCATTGTCAAAATTCTTGAGTTTGCCAAAATTTTTTGCTTTTTTCTTATAATCGAGGAAGAAGCAAAGAGGAATCACTGCAGAGGGTGACTAGAAGTGGAAAAATAATGGCTTGAAGAATCTAAAACAAGGTGGAATCTTTATAGAAACTCAACAAATCAGGTAATATGCAAAAGCCCTACTTTTTTCTTTCTTTAATAGACTTTTTAGCCTTTTGTGTGAATTTGGATGTCCGAACTTGTAGTTTGGGTTTTTAAATGTGTATTTCTATACTTGTGATGGAATATATTGCATGTGGTCCTTATGTTGGTTTACTGTCGGGCTGATTGCGACCAAATTTTGTTATTTGTCCTTTTCATGCTATAATTGGATTGTTTGTAGGTTTCTTTACAAGATTCTATTGTGTTGAACATGGGTCGGTGTCTGGTAGTGTGTTTTAAGCTTATTATTACTAATTATAGTATATTAACTAAGTTCAATAAAGGTGCTTTTTTGGATCCTCACACGTATTATTATTTTTTCGTCGCATACTAGTGTGGTCATCACAATTGCAAAATATGTTCTTATTCGAAGTCTATTATGGGGGCCATTTTGTATATAATCCAGGACTAACATATGTGGTTTGGAATATAAAATATTTCAATGATATTGACCCAAATTATATGTCAAGATTTGAGATTTGGGGGATGCTAAAAGGACTACAACTGCCTATAAATACTTAAGTTTGATATAAAATGCCAAATGATGAATTTGCCTTACTAAATAGTGAAGCAGCAATCATGAAAATGTTTGGGATATTTAGGGATGAACCATACATTCATATCTATGTTGGAGAGCTAAATGATAATGGGGATGTAGAAAAAAATAATGAGGATGAGTAAGATGGTAATGAAACTGTAGGTAATGGCAATATGAATGCTAATTAGGGAGTTGGGAATGATAATGGTGGTTTAGGGGCTGATGGGTTAATTAAAATCTTGAACCAGAGATTGACCATGATGTGAATGAATCAGAAACAGAATTTAATGAATCATACACACCTGAAAGTGAGCAATCTTCTGAATATGACTCAAACTTTGATTATTTCTTAGATGGGGACACATTAAGTGATGGCTATGATATTGATGATGATTCTACTGAGGTAACTAGTGGGTTGGATAACAATATTAATTTAGGACAATACCAATAATATGCTGAGTTAAGTAGTTATCAGTATAGAGCTTTTGATGAGATTAGGAAAGAGAGTAAGTCCGTTGAGCATGAAAATATTGTTGATGCTAAAGTACTAGAAACTATCATTCAATCCTCTGATGATGAAAATAGAGAACAATTTCTTGAGTTTAATGAGGAAAGAGACATGGCTGATCCTAAATTTGTGGTAGGCCTCCTTTTTCACAACCACACGTGTTCAGGAAGGCAATTCGGAACACGTGTGGTCACAACCACACGTGTGTTCAGATGTATCCTATGGAAATGGCATGTGTGGAATCTGAATGTAAGCAAAACTAGCATTGGTTTCTAGAACTTCTGGCTACTCATATTGAATCAACAGCTAACATGAATTGGGTGTTCATTTCTAACAGACAAAAGGTAAACTTGCCATTTATTTTTTCCAACATTCATGTATTAGTTTATTACTGCTATACAATTAAATCCAATCTGATTGATGGTGTTGCTGTTTTGTAGGGTCTGGTAGAGACATTTGATATGTTGTTTTCTAGGGTGGGAACATAGGTTCTGTGTTAAACATATGTATGCCAATTTCAAACTTAGGTTTAAGGACAAGGCACTTAGAGATATCATGTGGGCTGCTGCGAGGGCATATGAGACAGATGGTTGGACACAAAAGATGAGAGAACTCTAGGTTGCTCGTAGGGAAGCTTATGACTGGTTAAGTGCAATTCCAGCTAATTTTTGGTCAAGGTGTATGTTCAATCCAAAATCAAAGTGCGATCTTTTGAGCAACAACATTTGTAAATCCTTCAACCAGTATATTAAGGAGGCAAAGGAGGAGCCAATTTTATCTATGTTTGAAACGATTAGAAAGTTTATTATGTGTAGATACCAAGCAAATAGAGAATTCATATCTAAGGTCAAGGGAAAAATTTGTCCAAGAATCCATGACAAGGTGGAGGAAATTAAAGCACGAGCAATGGAATATGAAGCTGTTCAAACAGGTCAAGGCATATGGGAGATCACAGGCTATGCAGGGCACAAAATTATTAACCTGAATGTAAGAATTTATACTTGTAGAGAATGGGATATAACTGGTGTTCCTTGTGTACATGCATGTGTAGCAATTATAGATTCTGATCAAGAACCAGGAGACCTTGTCCATCCATACTATAGTGTAGAGTACTATTGTGGAGCTTATAAGAGTATAATGGTTCCTATTCCAGAAGATAGTCTATGGGTTCAAATAGGTGGATTGCCCATTTAACCACCAAAACTAAGGAGAAGACCTAACAGACCAAGAAAGCTATAAAGAAAAAGTGCAGATAAGCTAGTGAATGGTGATGTGGTATCCAGAAAGGGTACTATAGCCCACTGTAGCAACTGTAATATGCCTGGTCGTAATAAGAAGACATGCAAGCAACCAAGACAGGTTGTGTATGATGCCTTAAATTGTGTTTAATAATTTCTTTACTAGTTTATTTACTAATTTGGTTACTTTTGTAGGATGAAGGTGCCACTCAAACAAGAAGGGGAGGAGGTACAGCCCCACAAAAAAATGTTGGTGGAAGACCGAGAACAGTTAATGTGGACACACAGAGTACTAATGTCAATGTAACTAGTAGTAATGGAAGAGGTAATGGAAGGGGAATAGGTAATGGTAGGGGAAAAGGTAATGGTAGAGGAGTGGAATCATCAGCTAGAGGTGGGGGAAGAGGGAAAAGAGGGAGAGGTGCATTTTCAGGATGTCCTCCACTGCTTTCTGGATTTGGAAATTGGAATAGTATTGACATATCCGATGATAGAAACTTCATCCCAACTGATGTGGTAATCTAATATTATCTTAGGCATTATGTATATTTTTAGACTTTGTCATTTTTAACTTGTACTAATGTCTTTCTCATTAATGGCGGGTGGCAAGGGTGGCCATGCAACCTCATAATATTTTTGAAACCCGGACAGTTCAAATGGTAAGTATTTAAGCTGTATTTTTGTACACTTTTGCTTAATTTCAGCTACATTTTAACTAACTAATGTTATGTATAACTAGTGGACAAATGATCCCCTGACTGGAGGCTCAAAATTGAGCATTAATACCAATGCTAATGACGGTAGTATACCCACTACTCAAGTATATATTGTTATTGCAGTTCATATACAATTCACAGGCAAGATAAAGTATATATACATGACCAATATCTTGTTTTTATTTGTACCAGATCCAAAGGCATTCAACAAGATTTGGTGATGTTTTGTTCTCCAGTCAATCTTCCAGCACTAGAACATGTGTGCATCAAAATTGTCAGGTACCACCTAATAAAGGTTCATCTAACTATTAGGATGATAATATGGCCCGTAAAGGATATATTCCTCTTTTATAATGGATACATACTTTTGAAGGATTTAGACAACAAATATGGTTTTTTTTGTTTGGTTGAACACTAGAATATGATATTTTGGTATTTTGTATTAGTAAGGTGAAAGATACTCTTCCTGTTAGTTTATGCAGTATGCTTTATAGTATTTCATCAATGAACTATGGATTGGTTTATGAAGTTACTACTTTTGCTCTTTCTATTGTTATGTTGCTTATTTTTTCTATAGTGCTTTCTTTTTTTCCCTAACATGAAACCAACACTGTGGTGCTTTTTACAACAAATCATAATTTTATACTAATTTAAAAGATTCATATTACTTGGTATTCATGGTAGTAGCACCGTCAATAGAGCTGGGCCAGCTCGAGCTCGGTTCGTTCGGCCCGACAAAATGCCTGATAAGCCCGACTTTTTAGTGAACCGGTCTGAGTTTGAGCTTCAAAATTAGGTTAGAATTAAATATGAGTCGAACTTGGGCTTTATTAGGCTCAAACCCGATATAGATTCGGTCTTTTAATTACCTATATATATAATATTTATATTTTGATATTATGTATAATTATATATCCAAATATATTATTATTAAATACTAAATATATATAAATTACAAAATATAAAAATACATCTAAAGACTTTTTCATGAGCTTTCTTAAGAGCCAATATTAGTAATGCATAACTGAATCTCTAACTTTTCATATTGGTTGAGTAAATTTTTGTGTTAGCTTGTTTGGATAGAGTATTATTTGAAATAATTATTGTAGCACTTTTTGTGATGTGATGTATGTGAGATAAAAATGTGGTTGGAAATATAAAAAGATTGATTGAAAAATGTGTTTA